GAAAGAGTGGGAAAACTCATTTACACCAAACAAAAGGGGAGGGGTGATTAGTTGCTCCAGTGACAACAGAAAGAGCCAGATAGGCCCAGGGAAACTGATAAAGAAGCGGGAAAACGCTAATATCCCCCGGTTGCCTGCCTTTTTTTATATATATTTTTTTTTTAACTTCTTTCTTTCTTTCTTTCTAAGCACTAAAACTCCACCATTTTCTATCATGCAAATTTGTGTGCCTAAGTGAGATTAAACTCCGCGCAGGCACCGTGCCTCCTCTCCCCAAGTCCATTTCCCGCGCCAAGATAAGGCCAACTTCCCTTAATGCATCTTACAAGGCGGTGGGAGTGTTTCGCAGGCCCGCATTGGAGACGGCTTATTATCAATACAAATAAGAGCTTTCCAGACACCGGCTGCCTCCTCCTCCTCCCTCCCCGCTCTCTTTTAAAGCCGGGAACCCGGAGTAATGCTTAAATAGCTGAAGTGTCCTGCAGGGAGTGGGGAGAAGGGGGAGGCTGCGCCTGAGATGCTGCTGCAGGGGCAAGAAGTGGGACTTGCTAAGGAAAGCAGAGCCGGGTAGAGGAGAGGAGAGGCAGGGAAAGCATCACTCCTCAGAGGTCTATGGGGCATAAGTCCTCTTTCTCGCTCTGGGTTTCTGCCTCCCTCCAAGTTCAGAGCGTGACTACTACAAGTGCAGCTTCTCTTTGGGGTTTTCACCCAGAAACACCTTGTTCTTCCCAAGGGTTATAGGATCACAGCAAGGTTTAGGTTGGAAGGGACCTTAGAGATCATCCAGTTCCACCCCCCTGCCCTGGGCAGGGACACCTCCCACCAGCCCAGGTTGCTCCAAGCCCTGTCCAACCTGGCCTTGACCACCTCCAGGGATGGGGCAGCCACAGCTTCTCGGGGCAACCTGCGCCAGGGGCTCACCACCCTCACAGGAAAGAATTTATTCCTGAGATCTAATCTTAATCTTCCCTCTACAAGTTTGAAGCCATCACCCCTCATCCCATCACTACATTCCCTTGTAAAAAGTCCCTCCCCAGCTTTCTTGTAGGTGCCAGAAGGACCCTTCCTGTAGGTCCAAAGCAAACTCCTGCAAACATGGGAAGTGCTGCTGCCCTGTGCTTTGTCTGGTCTTAGGACAACTCCTCCTAAGAAGAAAGGAGGGCTGAGTGAGTGGGACAGGCAGGGACCACCTTCCAAACACTGCAGATGCCACGTGCGCTCCCCGAGCTGCTCATTTTAAGCCTGAGAGCTTCTTTCCTGGGGCGATCCAAGTGCAAAGAACCTCCTTGTACCTTTTGCTGTTGCTTCACATCAACTCGGCGTCACCAACACTGCACCTGACCCCGTTTAAAGCAGTGCCCAAAATAGCAGGTCTGAACTTTGATGGATTCAATGCCCAGGGTCTGTTGTCTCATCATTCCCGGGCTCATTTGTCCCATATTAGCACAGAAGCAGCGAGAAGGAGACACACACCTATTCCCGGATCGGCAGCAATCACCTTTTGTCGCAGGATTTCAAGCCTAGAAAGCCTGACCGACGAGGAAAGGTGGGAGAAAAGGGGCTCGCATCATTTCGGAAAGAAGGATCGCTAAGGGGTGACACGGTAACAACCTTCCCAAAAGCTAAAGGTTGTTGCAAAGAGGACACTGATCAATTGTTCCCCACGTCCACTGGGAACAGGCTGAGGAAAAACTCCACTTCATTTGCAACAAAGAAGGTTTAAGTTAGATATTAGCTATACATTTTCTAATTATAAAGGTAGTGAGGCAGTAGAATAGATCGTCTAGGGAGACTGAAGAACCTGCTTTGTTAAAGATTTTCAAGAATAGCTTTCACGTGTGTTTGCCAGCGATGTCCCTGCCTCGTTGCAGGGGGACGGGCTCAATTAGCTCTTGAGGTGCCTTCTACCCACCTATTTTGGGATCTCAGCCATCAATACCGTCAACCTAGAAATAAAGGTGCAGCGTTTCCCTCGCTGCAGCGTGGACATCCTTGGTTCCTGGTGGTTTCTAGCTGATCCTCTGCCGCTGCCTTGGGGGACCATCCCCAACCCTCATCCCCTAAAGGAAGCTGCTTCTCCCAGCCCTATCCATCTTCTGGTTTTTGCTCTGCCCCCTTTCCCCCGCTCCCCGCTCCAGCATCCCTTGGCAGACACCAGGAGCTCCTCAGTCTCTCCACCCACAGCCATTTCCCAGCGATAGTCCCTGAACTTGGGGAGAAGGAGGGATGCACGGCGTGGGGTGAGGGTGTCCGGACCCTGACTGATAGGCACCCATCGCACAGGCTACTGAAATCCCAGCTGGAAGGGGAAGAGCTCCTTACCCCCTGCGGCTGGTGCCTTTGGAGAGCGCAGCCTGCCCCGGGGCACGATTTAATTGCATCCTGAGAGGCTGGAGTGCTCCTGCCTCCAGAGCTGTGCCCCCAGGCGCAGCAAGGAAAAGTCAAGGACCTGCTTAGAGCAACCCTCTTTCTGGCTGCACCTGGACTAACACTGTTTAAAAGGGTTTCCCCTCCGCCTTTTCCATCTCCTCTCACTGCTTCTCCCTTCCTATCAAGCTGTGGGAAGGGGTAAGAGGCTCCGCTGTGTGCCTGAACGTGGCACATCCCCGAAATCCGACGCTCGGACACCCCACTTCCATGGGAGGAAAGGGGTAAGCGCTGCTTCCCGCAAGCTGAACGTCTTTTAGGACAGGATTAAACCAGCTTGCGTATTTATTGGTCCCATTTTCCAAGGCGGGAGAGTTAATCCTGGCACCCCAGCCAAATTTTAATCGGGCTCATTAAGGCAGGTCTCCCTTTAATTGGACACGATATTCACTTTCACATCCTGCTCCAGCGTGTTGCTGCGCATTATGCGCTTGCCACCTTCCACCCAAAAGGGCTGGGGGAGCCCTTGAAATGAGGGGTCCGGTTCCTGAGAGGTGGTATTTCCATCGGCAGCGGTGAGGATATTCCCCACGTTATAGGACTGAGCCCATCACTGAATCCTCCAGTACTTAACTGCATCGCTGCAAGGAGTTAAGATACAACATTCTCCTCCAGTACCCAAACGTCTCTTCCTAATGACATAGAAAGACACAGGAGGGATGGAGCCACGCGTCTGGCGATACGGGAAATTTAGGTCAGGAAACGGGAATCAGAAGAGAACAGATAGAAATTGTCCTGCATCACTCCAGCACCTGATAGCGCCTTCAGAACTTGCGGGTGATCGACTTTGGCTTAAGAAACTCAGGCAGGTAATAACAGATTGCAAGATAAACAGCAAGGACCCGGGCTGGCAATGCATCCGCTTTTTCTCGGCGGTTAATGGAGATGGAGAAAGTCCGGCTCTGTTTAGTTTGCTTGATTGCTCGAAGAGGAAAAAGAAAACGGAAAGGGAGGGAGGGGGGAAAATAAAGGCCCTGGGTTTGGGGTTTCTTTCCCCCCCCTTTCTATTCATTAGGCTGTCAATAATGCTCAGGCCTGGCATATCGACGGTGGATTAGCTCAACCCGACTCTGTACAAGACCAATGCCTTTTTAACCCAGCTTGTTTCCAAATCAATACCCCCATCAGCATTCGAAAATTAGCCCGAGACGAGATTCCAATACTCGAGCTAGTGTGTCATGCTAAGAGGGCTCCCGGCCAAATCACAGAAGAAGAAGGGGAGGGGGGGGGGAAAGGTTGCTAGGAAGGGATTAGAAATTTTCCATTAATTTTCCCCGAGGCTGCCTCCCTAAGAATGCAGCGGGCCCCGTCCGTCCCACCACGCAGGCTCCCCCCTGCCTAGCACGAGTCCTGCCGCACGGACACGGGGGCAATCTTGCGTGAACGTCCATCTGCTTGGCCACCGCCTGCGGCCGCGCTTCCACGTCCCCTCTCCAGAGCCTGTGGTGGGCTTGCACACTCGCCGAAGAGCGCACATACGCACCCCCGGGGACTGGGCACGCCTCGGAGAGGGGCGCTTGGCCACCGTGAGCGCTCCACCACCCCATGCTGGCCTTCCTCCTCCTCCTCCTCCTCGCAGAAGTACAGAGTTTCAACACACAAAGACATATTGTTGCTAGGCACACACACGCCCCCTCAAAGCACACAAATCTGCCGGCTCTCTCTTTTCCCCCAACACAAGTTTTACTTCTAGCACTGCCTCCAGTGTAGAGAACAAAAAAAAAAACCAACCCCAAACCATCAAAATACAACAACAACAACAAACAGCAACATGGGTTTGCTCGTGACTACTGTGGATATCAGAAACAAAAAATCCAGGAAAGCGGGATAAATGCATTGCCCGGCTTCACTGGGACTCTCCAAGCCCACTGGTCAGCCTCTGCGTATGCACCGAGTTGTCTGACACACTCAACGTAGCCGCAATGGGAGGAGAAGACACCAGGGCGAAAGGGTTGAACAGAAACCAAAGCGCCAAGCCCAACCCCTCCACGAATTCCCGCCGTCTTACCTTGCACGATGAGGTGGACACGCGATGTCTTGGGGTGATTGTCTGTCTGCACGGAGCAGGTGTAGGGACCCTCATCGTACACATCCACGTCTTGGATCTGGATGCTGTACTGGGTTTTGGTGTTGGCCAAGAGCACCACCCGAGGGTCCAAGCACCACTTGTCATTGC